CTAGACATTTAGGTGATATCCCCTTTCTCCCTATACATTCTACTTTTGTAACTTATTTACCTTTCCTATTAATGTTACCGTTATATATATACTTTCAGATAGTTGCTTTTCTCCAGTAACTGACCTTATTGAAAAGTAACTATTTGCCTTACCAGCAGTTCACACAACGTAATAACTTATGGTTACATTTTGGAGAATTTATGATTTATCATTCTCATCTCCACCTTCCTAGAAAAGGTATTTATCACTCTGTACAACCTCCTTTTTTGTATATACCTTTACCCCCTGTATATATTCTTCCAATCCCCTGTATCCCTGTGTTCTAAGATTACTTAACCTTTTTTAACAATATCAATTAAACGTTAGATTTTTATGTGTCAAGTTTATTAAGGATCCTAACTAACCAGGACAGATTATTGTTACGAGAGCAATCTCGCCACATTGCATTGGAGAAGCCTGGTTGCTCGCCTGTTTCCTTTGGATTATGGCCCCATGTTAAAAGGCTTGATTTTCCCCTGCAAAGACAAGAAAGCCGGGTCATTTGGTGCTTGCCCTGTTTGAGCAGTGATACCCCAGATAGCTATGCCATGGAGCCCATTCATATAATGAAAGACTATGGGAAAGAATTTGGCTCCATGGCAATTGAACTCTATGTGTGTGCTCTGAGCGCCATGTGAATGTGATGCATACTTTTCAAGTTATGAATAATGTGGAAAAATGTTATTTCTCTGCTTGTGCTAAATTACATTACCCATTGTGTAAGGTAATTGAATCACCAGCAGAGAGGAGGAATTTGTGTGGGAGTGTCTGAGTGTATTGTATGTGTTTATTGGTTGTGTTCCAAAACCCTGTGGGTGGTACTAATGTGTAAGAATGTGTACATAAGCACAATAAACCCACAGCTCTGACTGACCACTGCTTGACCCTCAACACGGAGCTTTGTCTCGTCTTTGGTGGATTTACTGAATGCTGATAGAGACTGATTGCTAGGAGTGTAAGCCGCTTGGATGCTTTTCCTATTCGTCTGCTAGCAGCGATTTGTATGGTTCCAGTTCGTGTGTATGGAGTGCTATATTGGATGCCGTTCGGGAGTTTGGAGCATTCACTTATTGGCGGTTCATGTGTTTGGTGTTCTACAATAGCCGTGCCTGTATCTCTGGAAAGGGGGACGATCGCCTAAACCGTTTTTACCCCTTGTGTGCAAAATGGTCCGTTACAATTATGTTCTTTCATTCTCAATATTTAATTTTTGTGAAGGGTTAGCCCCTCTAATCTGTCCTAAAGATAGTCACTACACACATTAGTAACTTCTTACAGCTTTCTCCCTTTTTTGTGAATAGTCTTTGAGAACATCATTAATAAAATCCTGAAATACGTCCGGAGCATTGCATAAGCCGGAGGTCATGACAAGTTACTCATAGTGACCACTTCTCAAGTTAAATGCAGTTTTGCATTTATGACCATCCTTAATACTTACCAAATTGTAAGCACTCCTAAGTCTGTCAAACAATTCTGAGATAAGAGGAATGGGATAAGCATTTTGTATGGTGATCTTGTTCAATGCCCTATAATCAATACATGGTAGTAACTCTTCATCTTTCTTGGATACAAAAAAGAACCCTGCACCTGCAGGTGAAGAAGATTTTTCATATGTGACCTTTTAGTGGAGACTCTTTGGTGTATTCCTCCATAATCCTACTCTTCGGTGGTGATAAGGCATACACTGCATAGTGCCGGGTAACAAATCTGTGGAGCAAGCATAAAATCTGTGAGGAGGTAGCGTATTGGTGTGACTTTTACTAAACACTTCTTTAAACTCCCAGTACTGCACAGGAATTTCAGTAGGCTGAGGCGTAATTTAATAATCACAGGTAGATAACAGCATTCACATGACAAAGTACAATGCTGGG